TGGGAAGAACTGCGAGGTTGGTGATACTATTTACTTCGTAGGAACTGAATTTGCGAGTACTATTCCCGTCATTGTTCAGAAGATCGTCGACCATTGCGCAAGCAATCCTTGTCTTAACAATGGACAATGTATCAATGCCGCTCGCGCCAGCATTTGTCACTGTGCACCAGCCTTCTTTGGGGAGAAGTGCCAATTTAAGGTAAAGTTTCTTAGTCTTCGCAGTTTTTCAGAAGTTTACTGCTTCTTCAGAGGAAGCCATGCTCTCGAAGTCGATGCGACAATGGAGCAACCTGTCGGCCAACGGCCAATTATAGAAACTATACTTGCGAGTGTAAGCCAGGATTCGAGGGAAAATTCTGCGAAGTGGTAAGTTCCATAAAATATCTGGATTTGTTGCAGTCTCACAGATGAACCTTGCTTTCTAGGACATAAACGAATGCAAAGACCAGCCCTGCCGTAACGGAGGGACATGTCACAATACTCATGGAAGCTATAACTGTATCTGCCCAGAAGGCTATACCGGGAAAAATTGTTTGGAGAATATTGACGACTGCGCTAGAAGTAATTTTTATCACCAGATCTTTGCAAATTCTAAACTCTATTCATGCCAAATAAACAGATCCCTGCTTGAATAACGGTACATGCTTTGACGAGCTAGCGAACTTCCGATGCGTTTGCCGCCCCGGCTTCACTGGCAGAACCTGCGGTGTTGACATCGGTAGTAGTTTTCTTAGAAGTAAGCATTCTACAATATTGCAAAAATTCAAATCTGCAGATGACTGCGCTTCAAATCCTTGTCTAAATGGCGCCACATGTGTGGACGGAATTAATCGCTACGAATGTCTGTGCAGGCGAGGATTCAGCGGGCGAGACTGCCATTTTAACGATGACGATTGTAGGCCTGGGTGAGTTCGTTCGTTCGGAATCACCGTAATCCACACAACTAACAGATACCACTTGTTTCTCACAATGACTGTAAAATGATCGCGGTATGTGTAGTTAAGTATCGTAAACGCGGCGCGCTTCACAAAAAACACCCTGTTGACCTGAGTGATAAGGAAGAGGGGCCGTGGGAACACGTACATCACAAGTCCAGAATCAACTTCTGCCTGATTGTGCACGCATCGAAACTAGCTCTGGATTAGGAGGGGATGGCGTGAACACGGTGTCTTTTCCCATCCTTGTCATTCCGTTGCGATTCATGAAGGTGACATTTCAAGGAACTTCATGCTGAAATCACGTCTTCGAGGCTGATTAGTGCATATGATCAGTCCGACAGTCTAGCGTCTCAGTTTTTCTTTTTGCGGTAGAAAGGGTCATCTAATCTAGTACTCACGGAAAGTATAATTATAGACTAGTGATGGCCTCATCAGCCACGCTAGGGTGTGATATTCGTATCTGAAGTGGCACTAAATGCTATTGTTCGCAATAGGGTACTTCGCATTGTTTCCAATGTTTACCGAACGGATAAGAGTTGACACACGGTGTGTTTATCCCTTGGATAGAGGCAGATACCCATGCAGAGTTCTTGTCAAGAATAGTTGATTTGTTGATATTACAGTAATACAAGCAGCAGTAGATTCATATGTTATTTAGGCTCTGCCTGAATGGTGGTAGATGCATCGATGGCGTGGATGATTACAAGTGTGAATGTCCTCGTGGTTTTACCGGTCAAAATTGTCAAATTTTTGTAAATCTTGATAAATTCAACGAAACGGACAGGTTGGCTTGCTTTTAGTTCTTTTTATGTTTGCATCATTATTTTGGAGAAA